GGGGGGGGGGGACTCATGACATTAGTATTTGTACTGTAATACCACATTAACTGTCTCCTGATATGTGTGTGTAATATGAGAGAATTTAGGCAGTGTTTCAGTTCACGCTAGCCACTGTACACATGCATTTCATGTAGGACATGCTGTGTCTCAATAGGTCATGTTTGAATGTGTTCGTCAGGTCTGTGTAATGATCCTCCTGACAGTCTTTCAGCATTCCAATCCTGTCTGATCCGCAGGCCAAGCGAGCATGGTTCCCTGCCATGTCATTACAGAGTCACTGTGCAGGTTTGTTTGTAGTTTGTTTCCTGTTTCTTTTGCCTTTTCTCTGCCTGTTTTTGTTTTTTTTAAATCGCAGCTCTGTTTCGATAGTTTATTAGTCCCTTGTGTATTTATTCTGTGTGCTCTCCCTCTTTCAGTTGTTAGGTCCTCTGCGTTTGTCGCTTGTTTTTCTGATTTCCCTACCTGTAGTCCTCGTGCCATATCAGTTGAGTTTTTGGCCGTGTTTCCTTTGTATAACCTTGCTTTTTGGAACCAGCTTTTTTCTTTTTCTTTTTTTTTTTTAAATGAAAGTTCCTCTTTTGTTCACTTTACATATCTGCCTGCTTTCCTGTATTTGGATCCTCTTTTTGTTGAACTGAATAGTAATTTATTTGCATCCTTGTATGTCCTTAAAGTTACAATCCTTTATTGCATGATGTCAAACTCCTTTTCAGGGGTTAAAACAAGCTCGGACGAGCCAACCTTCACAAAACCTTTTAATGGGAACTGCAGTGGATGAGACTAGGCCGCACTTAAAGCTATGTATGTGTATTTTAGAATTTAAAAAAAGTCATTATTGTTGTCATTTTCTTTACAAACTGCATTAGTTTGGTTGGTCCCTTTCTAAAAGATGACTATGAACAGCCAAACTGTTTACCTATTTATACAACGGCAAAACTTTGTATGAATGGGAAACGGGAGAGAAGTTATTGGTACACTACACGTTAAATCCTTGTTTTAGCCGTTATAACCATAAAGGTTCAGTGTGTAGGATTAGTGACATCTAATGGTGAGGTTGCAGATTGCAGCCAACTGTATACACTAGCTCAGGGGTTCTTAACCTTTTTGACCTCGGGGCCCAACTTTTCAAGTACAAAGTGTCCCGGGGCCCATTCAAATATTAACACTATTAGTTTAACTAATTGATCTCACTCTTGGTTTGATTTGTATTCAATAACTATATTGTTACCTTTTCAACTCCACCCCTATTTTGGAGCAAAACCTCCTAAAATGACATACCCAAATTAAAATGGCTGTAGCTTCTGAACCACTCTGACTATATGCGTCAAAAGTGTCAGAAAACCTGTAGGTCATAGAGAAACAGAGCAGTGGGCCTTTGGAGTCAGTAAAAATTGAAGATTTTTGTCCGCATAAAATAAAAAGGTATCTTTCAGTATAAATAACTGTCTGTGGCTGTATCTGTACAGGTAAATGACAGTATAGGGATGTAACTACACTATCAGTGAACACCTGCCTCACATTTGAAGAAGATTGGACAAAGTATGACCATTCTACAGTGTTTCTTCCATGAAGAGATCCAGGCGGAGCTCTAAAAGGATATTTGGAGACCCAAATGGACACATGGTAACCAAATGATATTCTGACACACTAAAGGTGTTTCTCCCTTTATATTTTGATATTATATTATTTTCCTTTTATTTTTAGCCTTTGCAAATTGCAAAAACTATGTATATATGGTCAAAGACGTGGTGTGTGAGTAGCGGACTTGCTCTGCGTAATGGCTGCGACCGAGCGCGCGATTGAGTATGCGGGTAGCTCAGTTAAGCAAGGTTATACGTTGGTTGACGGTTTATAGAAGTAGAAGATAAGGTTTGTACTATAAGTACTAGCGTTTTCTGAAGCCACTAGCTCCATGGTAACATCCGCTAGCACATTGTCGGGTCTGTAATGTGTCTTTTTCCGTCGAAATGCCGCAAGATCCGACTTGCAGCGGTTATGGCGACTTTGGACAGTGTGTGTTTGGGCTCCTTTTGTGAAAAATCCATAAGAAATGAAAGAAAATCGATGAGTTCTTTGCAAAGATGAGGATTTTGGGCATGCTGGGATACCAAACACGGACATGTTTTGTGACGTAGTTTGCGCAAGCAAGCCGTAGGAACGGAAGGGGAGGGGATCGAGGACGCCCTCGCGGAGTTGAACAGGCAAAACCCTTGTCAAATAAATGAGATGATACAATGTGATGATCACAAAGACATTCATTTATCATGTGTATGTAAACCTGCATACACAACAAGAAGCCCAACAGGCTTTCCCACGAGCGTTGGATGTTTCGTCGCCAGGTGTCGCTTTATTTTTGAAGGCTTCAGTGCTTCGTTTGATAGCATTAGCCCACATTCCACACACTGAGCCCTCGGATCTGCCTCGTTGCCTCCGTTCACAAAGCCGTACTTAAGAAAGTCAGGATTGTACTTGCGCACACATTTAGACTTTGGGGGAGGGGGGTGTATGGCACCACTGTCATCTTCATTTTTTCTTTATAAAAACTTATCCATAACTTTTGCCACAGGCTAGCGGCTAGCTGAGTGTCGTCTTCTGCTTATTGGAGCTTGTTAAACAACTGACTGATGCATTACCGCCACCAGGTGGTGGGAAGCTATATTGTAACTGAGCGTCTCATGGATAACAGTAATATCTCTGGTGTCTTCAATTGATAACCTATGCCCCGCGGCCCTCGCGGCCCACAGCTGCAAAACTGAAAGTTTTTTGCGGCCCTCTAGGTGGCGCTCGCGGCCCAATCGTGGGCCCATGGTTAAGAATCACTGCACTAGCTCACCCCTCCCCTGTTGGAGAATTATAGTAGCCTTCAGATAACGTAAAAACATACTACTGTAGAAATATTCTTATAATATACGATATTTTGAATATTGTAATGCATTTCTGCAAATAAACACCCCTAAATCTTACACACTGGTCGTTTAAGACAAACATGTTGACTGCATTTCTGACTATGAAGCATTTGTAAAGCTTTTTAAAAATATGTTTTAAAACCTGTATTCTTTACGTTGATGAAGACTATGAGGATTACCATACCCTGCGGCAAACCATCGGTCTGTTTGTCTTTGTTGTTTGTTCTTTAACTCTGACGATTCCCAGACAAGTTGAAACTTGAGCAATCCCCTGTAGCTCAACTACACCAGGTCAGCCACCTGGTTTTCAAAAGAAAGGTGGGCGTTAAATGTTACACCCAAAATATGAGCACCTTGCCTTTCATTAGAAGATAAACAACCAGAGAGCAAGTCTTAGATTTGAACTGAGGAAGTCCTATAAAGCACAGGGGCGTAGGATAGCCCTGGGCTAAGAATATGCAGCGTTAGAAGCCCAATACATGACTTGCAAATAAAACTGATTCTGAATCTGGAATAAAATCATTCCCCTGACTCTTTGACTGGAGTCATTTCACAATATTACAAACCCATACAAGATACACAAAACTACTACCAGCAGACACACAGTGACAAAGAGACACAACATGACGACAGAGACACAACACAACTACTAAAAGACACGAAATGACCACAAAGAGACAGAAAACAACTACAAAGAGATAAAAAACAACTACAAGGAGATACAAAACAACTACTAAGTGACACAAAATGACCACAAAGAGACAAAAAACAACCACAAAGAGGCACAACACAACTATAGAGAGACATCAAACAACTAGAAAGAAACACAAATTGATCACAAACAGACACAAATTGAGGACAAAAAGACACAAAACGACTATAAAGAGACACAAAATTACTGCAAAGAAATAGAAAACAACTACAAAGAGATACAAAACAACTATAGGGATACAACATGGCCACACAGAGACACAAAACAACTAAGAGACACACATTGACTATAAAAAGACACACACTTACTACAAAGAAACAACACAACTACAAAGAGACACAAATTGAAAACAAAGAGACACAACATGACTACAGAGACACAAAACTACTAAGAGAAACAACACAACTATAGAGAGACACAAAATGACCACGAAGAGACAGAAAACATCTACAAAGAAACAAACATACAAAAACATTTACAAACAGACAGAATGGACGTTTGGTGATGCATGGTATTTGAATACAACACGCTTTCTTTGTCATACATGCTGATCCTACTAATATCTAATGTGAGGTGGGTTTCTGTGCTCTTGTGCTGCCTGTATTCTTCTGGTACTTTAACTTAGTGTAAATACAGTCAGTTGTCACTGCTTCTACCTGTCATGTTAAAAAGGCCAACACCACTTGTTATATTCCTTAATTAGTCCAATAAACAGTTTAACCACTTACCTCCTGGACAGCAGCAGCAGACTTGACAGCTCACTTTCCGCCAACCTATCAGGTTTGCAGATATGAAAGTAATTAAAGGGTTATTCCACTAAACATAATCATGTTAGGTATGCATCTGCTCTCACGAAGTCCACAACCAGCAGGTTGAACTCTTCTTCTCTTAATTCAACTCCCAAATTGTGATCCTCTCCCTGTCAGACTTTGATCTGTTGCACCCTCTGGTGGTGGACGACTGCTACGACAACTTACTTCATGTTTTTTAATTCAATGGAAGACTTGGGACATGAATGTCCACTTTGTTATATTATCGAAAAGAGACACCTCGTCTTTTTCAGAAGACCTGTTGAGGGCCCCAGAGATAAAGTTCACTGCTGGGGCCCAGACTGACCTCCCCCACGTCCTGACCTCTGGTTAATAAACATGCTTGCTCCAAGTCCCCATCAATAAAAAAAAGCACTATTACTTTGTGTTGATTTTTCTTGTACAGAACTGTGTACATAATTGAGGAGTAAAGGTGAGTATCTCACCCCTACATGAATTCATAGAGCGCTATGGGACTCATCCAAGCTACAGAGAGACATATAAAGGGCGTCCTTTTGTTGGTGTAGCTCATATTCTTTCACTGCATGCTTACAGCACCATGCTTTTTAACAGATGTCAGTAAACCAACAGCTTGCACATCACATGCAACTCATATGAAGGAGGGCTCTATTGCAAAAATGATAAATAAGGCATGTTTATTATTATAACAAATCATATACGATCATTCTACACGCATACATCAGAACACCTGCATTAATATCTGAATGTAGAGAATGTAAAGAGTATTTTATATCAGACAAGTGAGGCTGCAGTCAGTTATGTAGATTGATGTTTATGAGGACTTAATCTCAGGCTGATTGGATGCATTATTAGATCACAGAGGTGAGACGTGACTGTGGACCGGGAAAACAAAATGGATTGCATCTCTGATTTATATTTAAGTGTTCTAAACATGTGTTATAAATATCAATTACACATTATAGCATAACTTCATGAGTTTTAAGTGAAGTGACAGCACTGTATGAGGTTATTAGCTATGAAACAAACGTAGGTCTTATGAACAGTATTTGATGGCTGTGAGTGAAGTGTGAGACCAAAGAAAAATTCACAATGATGACCAGAGACAAGTCTTTATTTTCCCTGAATTATAATAATAATCCATAAATTCTGCAGTTGTAAAGGTTAATAGGCTGTGTATAAATTGATTCAACGTTCATCTTCCTGGTGAATTAAAGACACAGCTGATACAATATTAACCACAAGTCAGAAACTCTGTTTTGGGCTGATTCATTATTAATGAAGGAATCCAGAAAAGGTTTGATTTGAGACCTCATGTTTCAGGAGTTCTCAGCCAAAACAGGTGTGTATTATAAAAGTCCTCATGGTGGTGCTCTCCCATCAAAAAACATTTGCTCTCTTGTTCATGGCCCAACTTTGCACCACGTGTCATTGAAGTGTGTTATGTTGTTTTTGAGATATCCTGGTAAACAACAGAAAGACAAACAAATAAACAGAACCAAATAGCCTTCACACTGTCTGTGAAATATACTATTGTCTTCATACAATGTGTTCAGTTTATGGGGAGCAGCTCTGTGTGTTGTGTTTGATTTGATTTGGTCTGATAAGAATATAAAATGATAAATTCAAGGCAACGCTTAGAAGTCTCTGATGACAAATGAATATAATAATTAAATACAGGCTGAATGAAGTTGGAAAGAAAAGAGACAAAAGAAGAAGCAGATTTGAAGGAGCTCGTTGTAACTATGTGAACGTTCTGCTGATTTTCACTCAGACAACATCGTTTTATTTTAGTGAAGAAACTTTCTAATTTAAATGTACTTCCTTAGTGAGACCATATTTAATAGATGTACACCTGCGATTTTATTCTAACGGACATTTGCCATTCTGTATTTGTCTTTAGTGAAGAAAATAAAATCCACATAAAACTCTGTTTAGACTTAAATTCAAACTGACTTGATATTTTATTTATCTTGTCTACATATTATTTAATGAGGTTTGGTAAAATAACGTTTGTGCAATGTGTATTTTTCTCGAGGGTTCAAAGCTACATTTCTTTCGAAAAAATCCACAAATAAATTGACGCAGTTAGGAGCACAAATAGCCCATGCTGGTACCAGTAACTTGTAAATAGAAATCTCTATTTAAGTTAGAATAATTATTTTTCATGACAAAAGTAGCTAAATCTATGATTAACTTTGAGGCGGAACGGCCCCGGTTCTGAAAATAAAAGTATAATGCCTCCAAACCACCGTCATGCAGTAGGCTATATTAGTATAAATGCTGCGAAATCATACTCACTAATAGAAGAAAGTTGAAAGTTGATTTAGCAACAGGTAAATCATTGAGACATGAAACATTATTAATAAAACCAGTTGAATCTCTAATGTATGCTGGTATATGGACATAAGGTAAAAACAGTCAATAAACTCTGACAGGGAAGTGAATTGGTCTGAGCTACAATGGGACGCTCTGGAGGATCGGACAGTGAATTGTGTAATTTACGCAACGTAAGTATTTAGGGCTTTGGTAATCCACCCTTTTTGTCTAAATTATTATCAATGAAATACCATTTTAATAGTTTTCTTAGTCTGTTCATTTGCTCGGACGGTTGTGCCAGCTGACATTTTGAGAGTTTGAGGTGCCGAAACGTAAAACAGTATAGTTTGAATGTAATTAAAATATATTGAAACTGAATAGGTTTTAATAGAATAAAATGATATATGTCATGAATTTATTAAATTATTTGAAAATATACTGGACTCATACTGGACCATACTGGACAAAAATATATAAAAACAAAATAATAATCATACCTCAGTTATGTTACCTTTAAAAAAAACTATTTCAATACATTAGCAAAGGGAACCACACATTTTAATTGTTTTACAGTTTTCTCATTTACTTTTCACAGTTTCTTTTTTCAAAGCAATAATCTGAAGAATTAGTGTTGTTCACAACTAATTAGAATTTCTGTTTTACAGAGCTGAAGGCTCAAAAAAACTGCTGACCAGAGAAATCCGTTGCCCGAGCCAAACTAAGGCACTGTTCTTATTTATCTTTCAGTCGCACTGCTACAGGATTAAACATCCAAAATCATTCATCAGAAATCTGTGAAGTTGTGAATTTTGGAAATGATTACATTTTTCTTTCTTCAATACATTTTCACTTTTGAACAGAGACATTTCCAGAGACGCAAAGCTCTGTGTCACTTGTGTGTGTTTTTCGTGTCACTGAGCACAGCTTTTAAACTAATGTATTTCAATTGAAAGTATCTTTATCGCCCGCACCATGTTTCTTTTTTGTCAGTCGGGATGACATTATGCAATAAAACAAACAATAGGTTTTGGCACAAAACCCCTTAGGTTTAGGAAAACCATCACAAACGCGGCACACGTCACAACATCGCTTTAGTTGAAAGTCCTATATTTTTTCATTTATTATATACAAAATTGTTTTAATGTTTTTTTGGGTTTTTTTAGTGCCTCCCGAAATGACCAGAAGAGAAGGGACGCACACCACACTCTGGTGTTTAGTCATACACTTTGTACAGCGAACCATTGAGATCTGTAATTTTCAGTACAAATACAGCACCAACCTGAACGTGCATGCTTTTAAACTATGTTTTAATTTTGTATATTTCTGTGTGTATGTAAATTATTGGCCCTATGGTCACATTGTGTTTTTTATGCTTGTAATTTCTGCCCTGTTAAGCACTTTGTGACTTTTGTCTGTGAAAAGCGCTTTATGAATAAATTTGACTTACTTACTTTTACTTACTCGGGATTGTTTCCTCAGCACACTGAATAATTACATCATCCAGCACCAATACGCCCTCGCTGCAGGAGCGCTGATCGTGGCCAAAGGTGCTTTCAATGCAACATTTCTTTGTGTGTCCACATGGTGGCGGTGGTGGCTAGAGGGAGAGATATTTGTAGCCTATATTTAATCAGGTGTAGTCTCATTCTGATCAAGAATTATTTTGCAAGTCACCTGAGTGCACCTTTCATTGGTCACGTTGTCAATGGCTGTTGAATTGTGCCTTCCTGACTAAAAGGTGTATTTATTATTGTGTCAATTGCATTATTATTTAGCCCAAAATATGTGCTTGTTAAACCATTTGATACTGTTTCCACAGGAAACAAACTTAGGGAAATTATCCTGTGTAGCTGATTTTTTATTAATTTATTTTTGCCGCCAAGAACCGCATCCTCTTTTTTTAAGCCAGGTGAAAGGTCAGGATAAGGCAGGAGGGATTTTCAATTTGCATAGGAATGAAATGGTGTTACAAGCACATATGTTATTTAAAGCCACTTTGGTTTAGTGTGATAGGCTCAAAGTTCTTTATAAAAACAGTGGAAATGCTATTCCCAGCTAATACAAAAATGATCACTCTTATGGTCATAAACGATACGATTTAAACCTGGAAGTGAAGATATCGTTGTTGGACAGCAATTTCCCTTGTAATTAATACACACATATATATATATATATATATATATATATATATATATATATATATGATATAATAATACTATATTATAGTATTATTATTTTCTTAAAATATATATATTTTTTCTTGTTTGCAATCATTTTATTGTGAAAGTTTATGCCGGAAGTCTTGCGGTTTATTTTGGTAGCACGGCGCCGTGAGCCTGGATTTGCTGAAGGTTTGGAACGTGAGGAAAGGAAAGCGAAACAGACTTCTAGCTTTGCTATACTGACTTCATTGCATCGACCGTGAGTAGGTTTTTAACGTACTGAGACAAATACGTCACAGTCTGGACGGCGAGAGGCAACACACGCACGTTAAATTACTTGATGTGGCTCACGTTAGCCACCGGGTGTGCACGGTGTGACAGAACGTTTTGAAACGCGGTGACACCATGATTCCAATTACACATTTTTACAGCCTCCTGTAGAGTCTGATAGTGTGCCTCGTAGGCCAGGTTCCATTCAAAAAATCTGCTCATTTACGATAGTTTAGATCATGGCAACGTTGCAATCATTGTCAACATATTTACCTCATCGTACGAGACCTCTCTTTATTTCGGCAGATACATAACCCTTTATGTAACACATTCATAAGTAGTAGATATTTCTCCTTCATGCTCACTCTGTAGTTCTGAAATAGAATCAGTGTTGCAGGCTGTACCGGCTGCTACAATGAATTTAGTCAGATTAGTCTTTGTTAGTGTTGTATCTGATGTATCTGTGCTGATAACAGATTAATGACCAATGATTATTAATGATTGTATGAGACTTAATTGTCTGCTAAGAAATCATGTTCCCAATTTCAGACTCATTTCAGTTGATGTGGACATTTATTTGCATCCCTTAACAATCTCTTCAGGAAGACAGAGTCAAGGTTGTGTTTTGTCAGCTGGTTATATTTTATTATAATTAACTTGATCTGTTTTTGTATGCTGTGCCAGTACCAACTTTCAGCACCTGACCCTTTTCCATACTTAAAAATGACATGCACTGCCCACTCTGTCCCCTCTCTGGTGTGTCCTACGACGAACTCTGCTTCCACATCAGCTCGGCGCACCCAGAGAAGCAGCGCGGAGCGCAGCATCCGGCCCGCTTCGCATCCACTTCGGGCCGCTCGGCCGGAATGGGGAGCAAAAAGCCCCAAACGCCTCAGTCCTGCCTGGCCGGGGACGGCTGCGACGCAGCACCCACCGGTGCCTCTCGTGTCACCAGAGACTCCGTGCGGCCTAAACCGAATAGTACACCAGGAAGCGGAGGTTCATCCACTGGGGAAGCTGCACCCGTCACTTCGACTTTGACAGCATGGAGCCCTAAAACAAGACAGGAGTCTGTCAGGCGCTGTGTTGAGGACAAAGATGGGCTTAAAGCCAAGCACAGTGAAGCCAAACAGAAGCGACGGTCTTCACCGGGAGAAGGTGATTGAACTATTTCAAACTTTAATTCAAACTTTAAAGTCACCATTGACTTGAATTGTCCTGTATCTGTTACAGAGAAGCTGTTCTCCTGCCCCATGTGCGCACTGGTCTGCAGCAGCTGTTTCATCCTGCAGGAGCATGTGGAGTTACATCTGCAGGAGCAGCACGCAGCTGAAGGTAACTGTGTCACCTAGAGTCGCGTCTTTGCTGCCATGTCTGGAACATTTCCTTTTCGGTCACTCTGTCACCTATTGTTATCGCCACATAATGAATCTGAAGGATCTGGGCAAATTTCTCAAGGGGTCACAGATACCTACCCCGTCAGGGGTGTTGATACAGGGGCCTCGGGATGAGGGGGCCCATAGAGAGAGCAGGCCTTCCAATAACGAAAAGGCCCTTGGGAGCAATGGTTGGCATTACAGAAATGTAACTGAATAGAATTTACATATCATGGCAATTTTCTATATTATCCTACTGAAAAACGAAAACCCATCTTCGTCATGGTTTTAAGTAAAAACATGTTGTTGTTTTTTTAAATGTGTATGTCGACGTTGTCCAATATCAAGTCTCTGTTTGGCTAGTTTAGACTCACAAGCTGAGCACATCAAGCCAGCAGGGCGAGCAGTTATGAAATAGCATAACCCAGTCAGCAAACATTAAGGTAGAGAGAAGGGTTCATTGTTTCTCAACACAAAGACACCCTGAGCCACATACTTGTACACCATGTACCTTTTATTCATGACTGTTTCTTTGTTCAGGTTCAACACTGGAGGCGTGTCCACTTTCACCGTCAGCCAGCAGCCTCTCAGGTGTGTCTCCTCTTGACTTTGTTTTTAGCTCGCTGGGCACAGTATTTTGTTGTTATGGTAATATGAAGAAAGGGAAAGAAAGATCTCGCCATCCAACCGAGGTGTTTGTATCTTCACCTGTATAAGAAAAACACAACATCGCTGCCTGAAAGCTGTCGTCAACTCGCCGATGACGCAATGGTTTTGGCGATCTGTCTGTCCGACATAACGTGGTTGGATGGGTTTCCGTGACTTTTTTGCACAGACATTCTCGGTCCCGAGAGGATTAATCCGACTGGCTTTGGTGATCCAATGACATTTCCTCTTGCGCCACTTTTGTGGCTGACGGATTGCCTCTTGCATGGCTGTAGACTGTCTAGTCTTCAGCTCTGACCTCCTAACCACGGATCACTTGAGTAAATTCAGTATTTCTAATATAAAGTAATGATGATGCTGGGTTTCTTTAATTTTATTATACTATATTGATCCCGTTAAGGGGGAAATTTGTCTCTGCATAGAGATCCCATCCCTACATATAGGGAGCAGTGGGCTGCCAATGACAGGCAGCCCGGGGAGCTGTTAGGGGTTCAGTGTCTTGTCAGGGACACTTTGACATGTGACACGTCCCAGTCAAGGATCAAACCGTTGACCTTGTGGTTACCAGACAACCCTCTTAACCCAGTGAGCCATGGTCGCCCCCCGGTCGTTTGTGTATTTTCCTAACTTAAGAAAGTAATGCTCAACAACCACTGTACTGTTTGAGTATTGTGTCTTTTTTAATATAGTTTTTTATTTATTTATTTTTTAAATAAAAGGATTTATGGGTCCCAACAAGACTGCATGATCCTGGAGCATTTTACTTCTTGATTTAAATAATAACAATAATAGCCTGCATTTCTATTTTTTATTTTTTTTTTAAACAAATAACACAGTAGCAGTGTTTTTTCTGGCAATAAAAGAGCGAACTGAGTCAATAGGAGGTTTTCTTTAGGAGGCATCCATAGATTAGCATCATAGTTTACGGATCCCAGCTAGATGAGTGTTCCAAAGGGTTTGGGCTGCCACAATGTACATTGCTCTTTTATAATAAGCCTTTACCCACGAATCCCAACTATAACCCACATGAGACCCACTTAGATTTGTTGGTCGTCTTTTAGGAACGCTTAGTGACACAAACAAACAGCGGGCAGCACTATTAATAACTGATATCCACGCTGACAGTGATGAGTCAGTCATCTGAATTGGTGAACTGTGCACATTTCTCTCATTCGCCAGAAGAAATATCAATTAGACAGAAAAGGGAATGAGTCTTATGAATGAAACAGACGACGGAATCAACAGATAATTCAGGTTCTGATTCAGTGTTGCGTGAACACAACACAAATATTGAAGCAACTCCTTCATTCTACATCAGTTAGGTTTCACGGTGCTTCAGTGATCTTAGTAACTGTACGGTAGAATTGCAGAAACATGAATGGTTAATACTGTGTCTATTTGTCTCTTGTAAGGTGTTTAAACACAAATGTTTCCAGTGGAATTTCCCTCTAATGGATGACACAAACTGGACCAGAGAAAGGACCATTAACCTACATGTATCAGTGGTCAACCCTCATAGGAAACATGTTTAAAACCTACATGGGGTTTCTGTTTTGTAGGAGAGAAGAGATTCGAGTGCCCTATGTGCTCTGTCGTCTGCAGTGACAGCATCTCTCTGCAGGAACACGTGGAACTGCATTTAGACCACGGAGCTGCTGGGAACTCTGCAGGTGGGCATATGTTCCTACCCCCCCGTGCTGCATGAGTCACTCAGGTCCCTCTGTTAAACTCCAACTCATATAAATGTCATATCTTTCTATGCCTTTGGTTCACGTGTGCGTCCGCAGGGAGCCCCGGCTCTGACCTGAAGCTGGCCAGACAGCTCCAGCAGCAGGAGGAGGAGCAGAGGAGGAGGCTGGAGGAGGACCAGCAGGAGAGAGAAGAGTTCAAGAAGCTGCAGGTCTGGATTCTACGCGAGAGCACACTCGCTGTGCAGACCGTTTAGACAGTGATGTTGTTGGATTTCCAATAAGTTAGCATTCATTCGAGGGTTTCATAAGTACATATAACTACAAATCCCTCCTTTACTGTTAACCCCGTAGGGTTGTCTGTGTGTCACTTTTAGGGCTAACCCAACTGATAAGATTATAATATGCAATACCATATTTGAGTATTGCGATAGCGATATTATTTGCGATAATAAAGTGTTAAATTGCTAAAACACAACTTTTTGCTTGTTGAATTTAAACAAATTTTGTTGAACAAACTGAACATTGAACTGAACACAAAAGGCACCAAAAAAAAAAACGATCGTTACATTGCAGTTTTCTACTCATTGTGTCTTTAAACCAACAAAAAAAAAAATCGGAGTGAAATGTCGTTTGCAGTCTTATGTTGTGGAGCCCTACTCCATCCTCATAGTCATGGTTTTATTTTAGTGTGCTGGAGCAAAATCAACAGAGAATATGTTGCTGTCCAAATACTCCCAGCTGACATCCAACCCAATAGTAAAAATATATATAGATATATATATATATATATGTATGTATGTATGTATGTATGTGTATATATGTATGTATATATGTATGTATATATATGTATATATGTATGTATATATATATATATATGTATGTATGTATGTATGTATGTATGTATGTATGTATGTATGTATGTATATATATATATATATATGTATGTATGTATATATATGTATATATAT